CGGCTGGTGTCTGCAGCCATGGCTGGTGTCTACAGCCAGCCTACCTGTTTCCCCGGCTGGTGTCTGCAGCCATGGCTGGTGCCTGCAGCTTGCTTACCTGTTCCCCCGGCTGGTGTCTCATTTTCTAAATTCTAGTGCATACAACTGTGACCAAAAGAAACTCTGAGAATCTAGAATTGTACCCGACTGCTCCACCCCCAAATATTACACACTTCAGTCTCTGCTATTAGGAAAACGTGCAATATTTTATCTTCTGAAATAGTAAGAAAAACAAACAGAAAGTTAACACTTTAGGTGGTGGTTAAGGAAGGAGCGTTTTAAGAGATTTCTGATTTTCTTAAGCCTCATTAGTGACTGGTCCCAGTTCTGAACCCGGTATCTGACTACAAGGCCCTCGTGGAGAATGTTTGCCTGTCTCTGCTGGGTCCATTCATGGAGTCTGTTTGTGCTGTGGTGTAGTAGCGACTGAAGAAGGAAAGGACATGCTTTCCTGTCAGTCTGAGAGGTGGAGGAGACTCCACGCACAAAGGGGAGGCCTGGGCTGGGCTGTGTGGGCCACCTCTCCTGCAGCTGTGGAATATGCTTTGTGGAAGGAAAGGAAGAAAACGTCCTGCGGTAAGAAAAATGATGCTGAGGAATAAAACATCTGTTCTCTGGCCTAGTGGGTATTCTCAAGGAAAGCAGATGTTATCTATTTCCTCCCTAACTGGAGTGGCTCCCTCTCTGATGCTGGAAGCCACTGTAAACAATGAGACCTTTTTCTAAACATGTTCAGTTGTCTTCCCTGGTTCAGCCCCCACAAAATCCATGGGATTGGCTTTCCAGGATGCATATTTTCTTGTGAAGTTCTGACAGAGGGGAAGAGTCTTACAGGATGGAACGATCTTGTCTACTTGAAGTAAAACACGACAGCCACCGTGAGCGGGGAATTAGCTTTGAAGGTATAGGGGCTCTAGAGCGCCCAGTTGCTCTGGGAGATTTTAGTATTTTGACGGCTTTAGTTCACAAAGTTAGGATAGTGCCGTCTGAATGCTAAGAAACCGAAGGGGTTGGGCAACTGTTTCCACTCAGTATTTCTTTTCTCGATAAACAAAAAAGGCTCTTTTTATCAAGTAGCTCTCATTCTGATCGGGCTACCACAAATGCTAACACTCGGTTGCATGCCCACAGAGTAGATGGTCAATGGGTGCGGAGTAGGGGGCCCTACAAGTTCAGGTCGCCACAGGCTCCAGCAAGCATACAGGAGAGAACGAGAGAGCAGTGGGGCTGCCAGGGTCCCTTGACCTTGGCCAGTTAATCATTCATCATCGATGCTTTAGAAAAAGAGTTCAAAGATCGTGTTGCTGTTTAATTTTCCTAAAACCTAGACAGCATAACAAATTAGGTGTTTCTGAGAGCAAGATTAGGATGTACTTGGAGGACTGCCCCAACACGGGCAGATGGACCTCATCCTCCTAGGAAGCATTAGGACTTTAAGAATCTTAGTGCACGCCTATCGCTCCAATACTGGCAGTGCTAAGGTAGGCTAGCCTGGGCTCCAGGCTAGCCTGGGCTCCATAGGAGGCTCGTCTTGAAATAAAATGAAAATTGTTAAGTTAAGCAAAGAGAATAAGATTTTAATTCCCTCCCAGTTACTCTTAAGTATTTATGCTAATAAATAAAAAAGCATAGGAACCACGACAGGTAAGTTACAGTCATTGGTGCCACTTAACAGGAGCTCCCAGAGAGGGGCTAGCACGGGGGGGGGGGCGCTTACTCCTACTTTAGATTGTAACTATGTCCTAGAGGAACTTATCAGTTAAAGAACAGGAGCTCACAGAAGCGGACAGTGCAAAGGAGGAGAGATGGATGTAAAAGAACAAGGTTTCTTTGAAGACCCTCCAGGTGCTTGCTACAATTAAATGACTGTAAAATCAAAGCCAAGGATTTCAGTTGAGAGAGAGAGAGAGAGAAAGAGAGAGAGAGAGAGAGAGAGAGAGAGAGAGAGAGAGAGAGACAGAGAGAGAGAGCCCTTCTAAAATACAAACAAAATCAGCTTCCCACAGCCACCTGTAATGGACTAAGTTGAAATTCCCACACCAGTGCTTTTGTTAGCATCGAGGTGATTGACATGTTCAAACTAGGAGGAGACTCTGCATCGGCTGCACTGTAGACTCCACAGAGTAGCAGTGAGGCCAGATCTGAGCTAGGTAACATGTTGTCTTGGAAAACAGCTCCGTTCCTTACCTGACTTCTCTGTCAGGTAAGGGTGCAGAGTATCCACAAGGTTTTTGTATGAATGAAATACAAATTGCTTACTGCTTGACTTCCGGCGATGGGATAGTTCCAGAGAGTTGCATCTGTCACATGAATAAGAGGTATAAAAGAGCCAGATTTTCAGGGTCCTCTTTGCTACTTTCTGTTTGAAGTGCAATCCCACGGTGGCAAGCCTCTCACCTCTCTGGAATCATGTTTGTTAACCCCATGTGTAGGGGGGTCCTGTGATGTAACATGAGGGGTCCTGCTTGTTGGGGGTTTTCTGTTCTGCCCTGTCCCCCAGCTATTTAGTCCCAGAGAAAAATCACACAAGAGATCTCTATAAGTTATAATGCTGATTGGCCCGTTATGTCAGGCTTCTTATTAACTAATGCTCACATCTTGATTAACCTTTTTTTCTGATCTATGTTAGCCATGTGGTTCAGTACCTTTTTCAGTAGGGCAGCTCACATCCTGCTGCTTCGGTGATCTGGGCAGGAGTGGCAAGAATGAACTTCCTCCTCCCCAGAATTCTCCTGCTCTCCTTGCATCATTTCCACTTCCTGTCTGGTTTTCCCACCTACACCCCCTGCCTGGCCAATCAGCATTTATTTAAAACATGATTGACAGACTAGGGACTATTCTCCCACACCACTGTGATAAAGGTTTCTAGTCTATTGCAGTTTGCCATTGCAATAGACTGATAACATACCTGAGAGAGCCAACTGAAAAAGAGGATGTTTATGTGGGTTTATGTTTTAGAGTTTGTAGTAGTGCATAATCAAGTCGGCTCTACTGCTGTGGAGTCTGGGGTTGACCCAGAACATTATGGGAGAAACCTGGTAGAGAAAACTGATCATTCCATGACATCCAGCAAGTGTTTTCAGTAAGAGGAAACGAAGGCTCCAGCGTCTCCCATTCTAGGTCATACCTCCAGTAAACTAATCCCCCCGCCCTCGCCGCCATGAGCTCCACCTCTTGAAACATTCCACCACCATGTGCCAGTTAGTTTTATATAAACTTGACACAAGCCCTTTTGTAAGAGGAAAGCTTAATTGAGAAGATGCCCCTACCAGATTCGCATGGAGGCAAAGCCATTGGTGCTTTTTCTTGATTGATGATTGATGTGGCTAGGCACAGCTCACTGGTGGTCCTGGGTGCTTTAAGAAAGTAGGATAATCAAGCCATAAGGATCCAGCCGGGAAGCAGAACCCCTCTATGGCCCCTGCACTAGTTCTTACCACCAGGTTCCTACTCTGAGGTCCTTCCCTGGCTTCCTTGGATGATGGACTGCAAGTTGTAAGATGCATAAATGTCTCCCACCCTAAAGTTGCCTTTGGTCATGATGTTTTACCACAGCAATAGAAACCCTGACTAAGGCATCCCAACAGCATTGGGCTGAAGAACAAGCCCACTTTTTTTTTTTTTCCAGGAACATTCCAGACCCAAACTACAGCAATATTGAAAGGGAAAATAAAAGAAAGCACATGTTCTGTGGCCCTACAGAAATGTGAGAATGCATTGGGACTAACTCCGTCTTACTTCACAGCTTTATTTCATTTTCTTCTCTCCATTAAGGCTGCTGTGGTACCGTCTGCCCAAACCCTTAAGATTACTGACTTCGGCTTCAGCGACTTTGAGCTGTCTGATGTGGAAACGGCGCTGTGTACAATTCGGATGTTCACTGACCTCAACCTTGTGCAGAACTTCCAGATGAAGCATGAGGTAGGAAGGCAGCGGTGTGCATTGGTAAAAATGTGTGTGTGTGTGCTCACGTGTCTGTGTGTAAGATAGAAAACTGTACCTGACTAATAGCACGTAATAGGGGTTTTCAGCTTTAATGATTAACATACCCTTGCCTAAGAAAACCCATCAGTCATTAAAAATGCATTCATTAAACTGGGTGGTGGTGGTGTATGCCTTTAATTCCAGCACTCGGGAGGCAGAGGAAGGCAGATCTCTGTGAGTGTGAGGCCAGCCTGGTCTACAGAGTGAGTTCCAAGATAGCTAAGACTACATAGAAAAACCCTGTCTCAAACCCCTCCCCCCCCACAAAAAAATGCATGTATTGGATTCCCACCATGTGTCACGCACCAGGTGGAAGAATACAGGAGGATTTTACCTAAAACGACGGGAGAAGCGCAAAAGCAGGTTATTGGGTACTGGGTAGGACACAGGGGAGGGGAAAGTGGCCAGAGAAGCAGCTGGAAGGGTGTGCAGCAGAACAGGTAGTCTGGGGAGCCGTCTATGGGAACTGGCTCTCCTCCAATGGCGACTCAGGGAGGAGTTCAAAGCCTGGAAGTACCTTGACATCATCGCCAAGGCTGTGACGACCACGTAGAATGCAGCAGCACCAGGGCCCTAGGTGCTTGTGAGGCCAGACTTTTCAAACGAGGTCATCTCCGTAGAGCAGAAATGAGACCCTTTGGGGCCCAGTCTCCAGATACAGATTTCCCATATAAAGCTTTCTGTCTACAGTGCTTTTATGATTCTATTTAGCCCTTCATTATACTATGAACAGTTACTCACATGCTCTTTGTGATACCAATGATGAGCAGACCCCGCTCTCAAAGGCCTCACAGAATGGAAAGAAAGCCGCAGGCGACTATAACTAAGGTTAATGGGGTGCTACTTATGCTCCTGGAGACCCTAATCTGATTCTTACTTAAATTTAATCAAAGTTCGCATTGATTTTCTTCAATGAAAAGCAAACAATTCAAATAGGCCAGTGACGGTCTCTCTTGTCTGAACATTAGCTGAGGGATGCTGTGTTGTTTCATGATTCCAACAAGTTCTCACAAATGGATCTCATTCGCGAATGAAGAAACCAGGCCGTCATTGAGGAGAAATGTCATGGACTTCAATCACAGATCTCTTAGTGATCCACACACATGCACCCTGAGAGTTTACCTCCCATGTTCTCAGTTTCCTTACCTCTTAGAGTAAATGATGCTATTGCTCCAGGGAAGTCAGTATGAATCACATGTTCATCTGTACCTTACATGCCTGTGTATGTGTATGCTTGTGACACTCTGCTTAATCCACAGATATAGAGAGCATGTCAGTTATCTCCCCTTTAGGCCAGTTTGACCATGCTAAATCACCATCAGATTTTTTCATGGTGAGATAGGATTCACTTTGAAAGTCCGCCCTGTGGATGTGATAAGTTCAGATCTGGTGTCAGAAGTCCTAAATATGGCTTTTCCTTCATAATACCTTGATCAGTTCCATGTGTTCCCGGAGTGTCCGCATCTGTGGCTAACAATGACTTTCTTCCAAGGGCTTGGCTAGAGCACAAGAATGTGATTCTCTTTGAGAAACGCTTATTGTTGATTTACTTTTTGTTTGGCTTGTAGGTAGCTTTTACGGATTGGGTATTACAGATAGATACTCACACTCTTTTCCTAGCAACCCTTTCTTCAGATTCTTAGCCATAGGAAGAGCCCGCCCCTCTAGATCACCTGCTTTCCTTTTCTTTTTGCATAGCCCCTGCCTTAATGGCAACCAACAAGCAGTAGATAAAACTTCAGTGCCCCACAAAGACACACATGGACCAAGTAAAAATAGCTCGTCAAGGTAATTTTTTCCCCCAGGGGAACACCATGACCCAGACTGGGCTAGCGAGCACCCTAGGGCAGGAAGTTCAGTTCATTTTTATTCTAATACAGATGGTGACTGTATTTTTCCCATTGGCCGGGTTCTGACCTCACAGTCTTTGAGATTGGCTGGTTTTAAAAGACTCAGTGTAGAGGAAATGAAGGAAAGTGATGAGTTGCTCCAGACCGTAGGCTTCCAGGATTACAGGGAGCTTTTTGTGTAAACAAAAGTTTTGCCAGATGGAAGAGATTAAAAGATTTTTATAACAGTTGTACAAGGTGGGGAGATTAAAAGATTTTAATTCCTTTACATAGAACTTTTACAAGGTGGGGGGAATTTATGGAATATTGGCGCTCTGTGAGCTAATTTTGATTTAAAATTATTCTGGGCAGCATCAACCTGACCATTGAGATTATTTTGGTTGGCTTTTCTGCCTAAGTGTCTAGTCTTCTTTTATGTTTAGGTGTTATTGTCAGTATAATTTTAGGTGGGGAGGATGCCCCTACCAAGACATTTCACACTGAACGACAAACCTCCAGCATTAATTTATGCTGGTGGCAGCCACTGCCTGTCACTGGTCTCTGAAGCAGCCCACTTTATTAGAATACGTGTTGATTGTGTTTCCATGTCTGTCCTTTCTGTCTATACCCCCTGAACTGTATATATTGCACTTTATTCCGTGGTCTCTGGGGAACATACGTCCTTTCTGCAGGTTCTTAGTCATGTAGGAAAAGAATTTTAGAACGGACTCAGACACTTGAGGATCATTTTATCGGGGTTTAAGCCAAACAGCAGGGAAGGCAAGCTGGAGATGTCAGCAGCTGCCAGGAGCCGAGGGTGAGAGAAGGCAAGGCTTTCTGAGTCGGTTAAGAAGCCACACAGGCCCAGCATTGGCAGTCTGGGAGCACCTGCTCGGGAGCAGGAGGTCTGCAGAGGGAAAGAGAAGCCCAGAGCATTGAAGCAAGCAGATTTAGGGTTTGTGTCAGTTTGGTTTGGAAAAAGGAGATAGGAAGAGGGGAAAGAAAATATTGCTCTCTGAATTGGAACTCAGAAAATGGGCAGGCCTGGTGTGATGACAGCATCAGTGGCAATGGCTTCTGGGTCCCTGAGTGCACATCTCTTCTTAACAAGTGCTTAGATACTTCGTCTTTCTTCTCACCTCCTGGCTGTAGGCTGTTCTCTTGAAGTCGTAAGACTATCCTTCCTGTCACAGACAGTCTTTGGCCTTCCTCAAAGGTGTTATCAACCACTGACCAAGCCTCCTTATTAACCTGAACGCTGTTTCAGATTCTAATGCCCTGTCGTTCCCCCTCCCTCACCCCCAGACTCAGGAGGTGGGGTCCAATGTCTGTTGTGATTGAGGTTCCCATCTCAAAGAGCCCCAAGCTAGTACGTTTTACCAGATCCCCGACGAGAGTCACTCTAGCCATGATTCAATTGCAGGGTAGGAATACATATTTAACACGAGCTTTAGGCTTTGAACTAGTGAAGAATATATTGAGACATTGAATTTCCAGTTTTTCTCATGACTTTTCTTGCTGCTTTAATTAATCACAAGAGATTTTCTACATGATACTGATGTGTACTTGCAAAAAAGCACATCAAAGTACAACGTGTGGCTTTCATTTAAAATCCCCCTACTGTGACTGCTCTGTCATCTTTCCACCAGAGTGTCCAAAAACGTCCAGAATAAAGGACTCTGTGCTGAGATTTCGGTGCTGAGTGAGCGCACATCCACCACCATGGGCACACAGACCTGCTTACACAAGGACAACTCACAGGGCCTAGTGCTCAGAAATCCCGAGGTTCTTTGTTGGAGAATTCTCTGGTAACTGAACCATAGAACTAGAAGGCAAAACCATAAAAAGAAAAGTGATTAGGCCAAGTCCTCTGTGATGGAGAGGCTTCTACCAATAGTGCAGACCCTCCCACTCAGTCCCCAGAGCCAATCACAAGGCTGGACGCTTTCAAAGCTGTGTTCTTTCCCCTTGTACTTTTTCCAGTCCCGAGGCAATGCTCTTTGTGTTTGCAATATCCCCAGTGACACACAGGGGAAAGCGCATCCTTGTTTTTAACAAAAAGAGAGTAAATCATTCAGATTTTAAGAGAGGCGGACCAGTAACACAAACAGAATAGCCATGCTTAGCTCATGGGTCCCTGAGGATTTAATTTAATACTCCACTTAGAAGTTAAATTAAACCCAACTTGGGAGACTTGCTTGAACAATTTTGCCTTTTCCCCCTTCCTATCTTTTAAAAGAAATGTTTTCCATATGGGTCCCAGGAGCTTTCCTTAGTATACATTATTTCCAGATTTTGATTTCTTGGTAGGCAGTCATTAACTGTGCCTAACCCTTAGGCAGAACCGAAAGTGTAAAGACCTAATGAAGAGGGCACCAACCTGTGACTCTGGTTTGTCCTGAGACTTGAGCTAGGTACCTCGACCCCAGCCACCTTAGGTCCTGGCACCCAGTGTACAGCGTGAGAGCATAGAGTGGATCATTCTCCAACGCTCGTGCACCTATGACCCAGGATTCTAAGGACGGCATGGGGCGATATTTTTTATAAAGGTAGTTGGTGTCCTACCCATGACGACATACCTTTCTTTGAGATATTATATATTTTCCATCCAGTTGAACTAGGTTAGCTTAGTAGATTCTGGACTGAACCATTAATATTTGAACTCTGGCTCCACCCCTTATGAACAACCACCACTGACAGGTTGCCTGATTGAATATAGTTTCTTCTTTCTTTTCTTCCTTCCTCCCTCCCTTCCTTCTTTCCTTTCTCTTTTTAAAATAGTTATTCACTTTTTTCTAACATATTTTTTATCAATTATTTAAGTTTCATATAATGTCCCCCATCACATTCACTTGCTTGACTTTCCAGGTTCACACACCTACCCCCCACCCCACCCCTGTCCCTTGGGCCTTTCCCAAAGGAAAAAAAAGAAAACCCGAGCCAGTCCAATTTGTATTGCCTGTATTCTCACTGCAGCATGGTGAGATGTGAGTCCTTTAAAACTGAGCCTTACCCCACCCACCCCTGCCAGAAGCCATCAGCTGTGAGGAGCCAGTGTTGGTCTCTTCCTTTGTCAAGGGGTCAGAACAGTCATGCGCGCTTCCCTCGCTGCGACTGTGAAGATTGAGTGTGAGTGCCGCAAGGTGCCAGAACTCAGAAAAACGATGGCTAACTTGGCAATCATTGTCGCTCCTTCTCCTTTATCTCCTAAAGGTTCTTTGCAGATGGATTTTAAGTGTTAAGAAGAATTATCGGAAGAACGTCGCCTATCACAATTGGAGACACGCCTTCAACACAGCACAGTGCATGTTCGCTGCTCTGAAAGCAGGCAAGATTCAGGTACTCACAGCTGTTCGGAAGTCTGCTTAGTGGAGTTTATGGCAAGCCCGTCTTTTTAAATTATTTATAATGTGCCACTATGGTCTGATGTGGGATGTCCTTCTGTGTATGTCTTGCTTTTATTGGCTAATTAATAGAGCTGCTTTAGCCTATGGCAGGGTAGAATATATGCAGACTACAGGAGATTTATATATAGAGAGAGAGTAGGCAGAGTCAGGGATGCCATGTAGTTGCCAAAGGAGACAGATGCCAGAACCTTGCCCGGTAGGACATAGCCTCGTGGCAATGCACAGATTAATAGAAATGGGTTAATTTGAGATGTAAGAGCTAGCTAGAAATATGACTAAGCTGTTGGCCAAACAGTGTTGTAATTAATGCAGCTTCTGTATTATTTGGGTCTGGGTGGCCAGAAATGAACCAACCATCTTTGTTTACAGTGGTCGTTGAATAATGTACCACATAGTGACTCATGGTGGGTTGAAGATTAGCACTGCAGGGTAGTTGGCTGCTAACTTTCTTAGATTTAGAATAAATACAATGTAGTAAAAATTCCCTGACTTCATGTTATGTTTTAGTAGTCCTTGGGCAAAAAATATTTCCGCTAGAGGAAGACACTGAAAGATAAATATACATTTATATATTCACACTCAACCGCTCCATGGCGGAATTGCTCAAAACTCACCAAGTGTTGTCAGAGACAAGCTCCTGGCTGTCAGTCCTACCCTGTGTGGAAGGCAGCTACTCTATAACTGCTGTCTCAGACAGGTTTCTCTTTGGTGTGCATTGATCTGAGGCTGATTAAAAGGAAGGCAAGGGCAGAAAATGTTCACATAAAGGATTCATGTGTAGCCAAATCCTGCTGTATGCCTATCCTTAGATTTTATCCTGACTAGCTAAAGTGATTCTATGCATCTATTATATAATTTAGTCATATAATTTAAATCCAGAGCCTCTCAATTCTAAAAGTAAATTTAAAGAAATATTATTCTCTGTCAAATATCCTACTTTCAGGGGTTTAACATTTTAAATGGTCAGTTTTAAAAGAAACGACTGGCCTTGGTTTTAGTTTAGTGACTGAACACTGGAATAACCCCTGTAAAAACCTGGATTTGATCACTGCACATAGAAAATAAATAAAAGAAGAACGGTTGTCCTCAAAGCCACACAAAATAGCATAGTGCTATATCTCACGCCCATAGAAACATTCTAAGACTAGAATAAACTCACTCTGGGTCGTGCTAGAGTCTGAAGGTTATCACCCCCGAAAGTTACCCTTGGCTTTCATGACAAAGAGTGACGCCATGTTTCACACTTACTTTGACACTTACGGTGCTGGGAGTTCTGGGAAAGAGTGACATGGCAGCTTAGTCTGCATTCCCTCCTGATGATGGGAATGGTGCTGTAAATAATATAAACGGCAAGGACTCAAAAATAGCCAATGGGCTTGCGGATATATTATACAACGTTTGAAGGCCCATTTCCCCGCAGTAATCTTATTTCTACTATTTTGTTTAATATTAGCGTTGTCTAGGTTCCTTAAGGATGTCACAGCCAATCACAGAGAGCAAAGCCATGGTTACAGAGAAACAAGAGAAAAAGATAATTGAAGTTTGTTACAGTCATTCCACATGTATAAAAATAAAGATTCGTGACATTAACAGTGTGTGGGCAGATTATTCTTTTTTTTTTTCACTTGAAAAACTTACGTTTTGTGTGTGTGTGTGTGTGTGTGTGTGTGTGTGTGTGTGTGTGCACATAGGTCATGGTACACGTATGGCAGTCGGAGAACAGCTTTTGGAAACTGGTTCTCTCCTGCCACTCACATTATTGGGCTTGCATAGCAAGCACTGGTACGCACAGAGCCAGCTTGCTGATCCCAGGTTGTTCATCTTGGAAGCATTTCAACATTTTCTGTTGTCTAGTGACATTTGTAATAGCTCATTGTGAATAAGAATCCAAACGACTGCCTACGGAGCCGAGTGTCTGGAGTCTCTGTGAGGGCGGCGCAGCAGGGCGGGAATTAGTACGGAAAAGCCACAGGAGGAGACCCTGCCCGTGCTTTATCTTTCTTTTTCTTTTCTTCAATGCTTTTGCACACAGAACAAGTTGACGGATCTAGAGACACTTGCTTTGCTGATTGCTGCTTTAAGCCATGATTTGGACCATCGTGGTGTGAACAACTCGTATATACAGCGGTAAGATGGTTTCTCCAGTAAAACAAGAAAATGTGTCCTCTGAATCATTGGACTGTGTTTTAAGTTAGAGCTACCAAAAAAAAAAAAAAAGTATCAGTTGGCTGAGCTTCATTACATAGTCTAGCTATGTTTAAGGAAACTAGAAAGTGAATGCAAGTGTAAAACTATATTGATCACCATTCAAGCAGTATCTATGTTGAGACCCTTATTACATAATTGCTGTGAGTGTTGCTTTGGTTTTTGTAGACCCAGCTTAAGAGCGTCTTTATAAGACCATGAAGAACTGTCCATAAGGGGTAGCATTTTTACCCTGGAGTAGAAAAGACAGTATTTGAGAAAGTGCCTAGCTGGGCCCTGCTGACTTACAAGACTCCATAGCTTTTTAGTTCTAGTGGAGGTGACATCACACAGTGTTAGAGAACTTGAACTCTGTGCCCAGGCTGTGGTTCTGCCCAGTGCTCCCTTGTAGCCTTGGACAAGGAATCTGACTTCTCCATACCTTCATTTCCTTTAAAATGGAGATAGTGGCATCCTCATAGCACAAGGCTAGTGTATGTTTCCAGAGGCCACACGCATCCACCGAGCGGAAGGTTTAATGTGTGTTGTGTTAGGTCCTTGCAGTAGTCCCTAGAGTTGTGCCCAGCGTGATGCTCTCACCGGCAGATCTTAGGAGTGAGAGTCTAACCACCGGGATAAGAATTTTCAGGCACTTTTGAGGATCAACACTTAGGTGGCATTTTGTGATGGCAACTGAGTGGATGAAGCTGATAGACCTTTCATCCAACCATCCAACCCCTGTTGCGGTCTCTTCTCGTAGCAATTTGGTTGAAAAGTCTCCGTTGTAAGGGCAGAATCTCGTACTACTGAGCGTCTTTGTAAGTGAGGCGGTGACTTGACTGATCACATCATAAGGGATTCCCGGTGTCTGCAGGGTGGGAGACAGCTCTCCAGCCGTCATCGCTGTATGTGACAAACAGGAGACTTTCTGTAAGGGTTCTAGCAGTGCACAACCATGTCCTTGTCCATGAAACAAGAGAGAAGGCTCTTGCCCTGTCCCAGACTGACTTTTTCCACCTGAAAACCTAAAGATTTGGAAAAGTAACTTGATGACATGTCCTTTGTCCTTGTGCCTTATTTGTGGTCCCGAGTGGCACATAAATGTCATTAATGAAAGGGAGCAGCAATAGGAAAGGATCTTTAGTGTGATCCATCCATATAGCATGGCTATCCTCCCTGTGTGGCCAGTCCATATAGCATGGCTGTCCTCCTTTCATGACCAGTTCATATAGCATGACTATCCTCCCTGTGTGACCAATTCATATAGCATGGCTGTCCTCCTTATGTGACCAGTTCATATAGCATGGCTATCCTCCCTGTGTGAACAGTTCACACAGTCTGTATAGCATTTCTGTCCTTCCTATGTCCATATAGAACGGCTATACTCCCTGCCTAGCAAAGAAAGGAACATTGTGTTATTAGTGTGTGTGTCTATTATCATTGTAGAAATTGTCTTCATGTTGCTCTATATACGTGAAGAAAAAGATAAATTGCAACTTTTTTCTTTTACTTAAAGATAACTAATATTAAAAAATGAGGGACTGGAGGCATGGCTCATTAAGTCACTGCCTGCCCTTCTAAAGGTCCTGAGTTCAATGCCCAGCAATCAAATCATGGCTCACAACCCTCTGTAATGAGACCTGGTACTCTCTTCTGGCCTGCAGGCATGCATTCAGGCAGAACACTGTATACTTAATAAATAAATCTTTAAAAAAATACCCTATATTTAAACTATTAAAAATATTATTACCCCAAAGAGCTTCTGGAGCAATTATATCTTCTCTTTAGGTTAAAAAAAATTTGGGGGGGGGGAACACAACAGAACGCACAGATTGTAGAGTCTTATTTTCCCACACACAAAGTAGACACTGACCAAGCAAGAACTCTTGGAAAAGCTAAAGCTGCTCAGAGGCTTTTATTTCTTCTCACATTTCTGTGTTTTGAGTAAAGGAAAACAGGCCTCTTTCTTTCCTTACTGGTAACGACTGGTATTTAAAGTAGGATTTTCTGCACAAGTGAGCCCTTGAGGTAGTAAAGTCCTGTAAACAGCCCCGTATACAGTTCTGTCTTCTAGAGGGACAAACAGTACCCCGAACCCATGATGTGTCCAGACTGACACATGGAAAAATAAATAAAAAGAAGGTAGAGAAATATGAGTGGTTAGTGAGCAAGAAGGAGGTGTCCGTGGGTAATGGAGTCAGAAACCGAGATCCTCCTTTCTCTTAAGTGACTTCGAGAAGTCTACTTTGAGGTAAGGCTTTCCTTGAGCAGGAGTGGCCTAGTGTTGTCCCTCCCTCTGCCCCTCCCACCCTCCCTTTCTTTCTTTAGCAAGAAGGCTGACATCACCAGGGGTCCCACTGGTGGCCCGTGATGCATGTAAGGTCTCTGTTTCCGCTTTCTCTTCTCATGTGGGAGGGGAGGAAGAATGCTCTCGGGTGAACTGCTAGCGTGAGCCCTGGTGTAGACTGGCTATAGTTCAGTTGGTAGAGTGCTAACCTACGTATGCATGAAGTCCTGGCTTTGACCCTTCACACCATGTAAACCAGACTTGGTGGTACCCTCAGGTGGCAGACGCAGGAGGGTCAGAAGCTCAAGGTTAACCTCAGCTCCATAGCCAGTGTGAGGCTAGCCTGGGCTACGCGAGTCTCTACCCAAAACAATGAAGCAAAATGAGTGGTGGCTAGAACGCTGTAGCCCATAAAAATAGTTATAAAGCTTACATTATAGAGAAAGTGTCCGCATCAGGCCTCTAATCAATGTCCTAGGACTTTACATGTGTATTTATTTGCTTAGTTTCAAGTTCAGCAATTAAAAAGTGATTCACAAAAGTATGCTATATGTTAGGCTCATGCATAATGAACAATTGCTAGAGTCTGGGTTCTTTGCTAGGCAGGAAGAAGCTAGTTATCTACTGAGTCCTGGGTCATCTAATGAAGTAGCCATCAAGTGTCCATCAGAGAAGGAGATTGGCCAAGCGTAGAGTAGTCCATGTCCATTGTTCATAGAGAAAATGAGATTCAAGCTGAAAGGTGGGTGATTTTCAGATAAAGGACAAAGATATCCTGAGATGCTGTGATGGGGGCATGGACCAGTAGCGGGAGACCAGCAAGAAAATAGACAGACAGGAGCCACAAGACCTCCTCGAGGGAGGGGTGTCGCCCTGAGCCGTATATGCTGGAATTGATTGAATTCGTAAAAGGAACTGTTGCCCTAGGTGATAAAAAAACATTAGGAGCGAAGTCGCAGCGTCAGCTGCACGGTAAGTGGATTGAAATTAGAACCACAGAGCTCAGCTAGAAAACCGTCACAGCAAGCCAGGTACAAACCGACAGTCACACCGAGTAGAGGGGGAGGAGGCCAAAGAGCAGCGTTAGTTAATTTCACGTGGGGACGCTAGAAGGATGCATGAGGAAAGGAGAGAAAGCAGAAACAGCGGTGGTGCCGCAGTGAGCGTGAAGGCGTGGGGGGTAAGGTACAAAGCAGCGGAGATTCCGGCCCCGGGTCCTGTGGCTCACAGGCAGAACCGCGGACGCTGTCTGTGGTGGTGGAGAAGAAGCCTGGGAGGCGGCTCTGTCTCTCTCACAGGACATTTATTTTGCATCAGAGTCTAAGACTTTCTGTTTCTAGTGTATTTCCCAATACCACTGTCCAGGATAGGCCAATCACTGTGCAAGACAGGAAAACACAGAGAAAGTATGCCAGTTCATTCGCGCCCGCCGACATCGGCGTGGGAAGAAAATTCCACAGCGATAGTGGTTTAAATAGGTCCTTCTGATGTGCCCCAGATAGCAGCAACACGAACACATTGGTTTCTATGCTTTTTCTTTTTTAGTGTACAGGAAATCCAAGGCATTTTTTTTCACCCATTGCTTGATTCATGAATTTGTATTTTTAGAATGTAAGTAAAGACAAACACATTTTGGCATTGGTCTATCTCACAAGCCAAAAGTCCTCTCTAATCTGATGCAGTTCTTTCTGCCTCCCCTAGAAATGTAAAGTACGTTTGAGGTTCTAACTGGTTTGTATTATACCCACATAATTGCATTTCCTGCACTGACTCCCAACTAGGTCCGTGAATAGACACTGTGTAGATATGGCAGTGAGAGGCAATGAGAGGATGTACTCGAACCCCAGGCCTGTCATTTATATCCCCATTGAGCAAATGAGATAATCTGCTTGAACATTTAAAACATAGGCAGAAATGCCCATTGTATAGCACTCTCTGCCTGGGTTCCGCTGAAGCCCTAGTTGGAGATAAAAGTTTTGGTATGCATAGCTTGCTGGTGAATATGACCCCAAAGAGCACAGAGAAAGGTCTGAAATGAAGCAGGAAAGGAGGGATATTCTCCAGATAGACACACAGATGAGCAACCGGTACTCAATTCTGCCAGAGGTGATTTGGAGCAAACTTATGGGAGGAGACCCAGAGTCACTGGGCTTTAAGGCAGAAGACACTTATCTGTAAGACCCCTTTGCTCCATTAGACAGTGGTGGTCCCCAGGCCTTAACTAGCCTATGTTGGCCCTGGCTATGTGCTTGTGCTTCAAGCCTGTGGGCACCAGCTGTGGGTCAGGGGGGCGGTACCTAGGGTAGGCCAAGACAGAGCAGAGAGCTTTCTGATTGGCACCTGTGTCGAGTCTGTTAAAGTCTGGATGAAACACTGTATCAGCGGCTGAAGTAGGAGGTAGGTGTGAGATGCCTGGTTCAGTACTTACACAGTGAAATACAGTAATAATAAATCAAAGTAGCATAGTGCCGGCTGTGGTACAGGCTCCTGATAAAGGGAAACTATTGTCACAAAGGCCAGCAACTTCAACAGGTTTATAGTCTGATGCGGTGACAAATTGAGTGCCGCGGCACCTGCTGAGGGACTCTGGCAATGTGCCCTCGACCTTTGTCTTAAGTGTTGTGCTTGGCATTTATGTGAGTTGGTTGGTTTGCTTTTAGGTTCCGTGAAAGGTTTCCATCTCATGTCCTAGGCTGGCTTCTGACTAAAGCTCCACCAGCCTCAGTTTCCCTAGGGTAGCACCCTGCTTTCATGTTCTTTAGTTCTTTTATAAACGGTGATAATAGACACCTGAAAGTCTTCTCTTTTGCCTGAAACGAATGAGGGCCGTGACTGCTATGCTAGTTGAGCTGACTTTAATATGAAAGAATGGAGAAGAATGGAGGGGGGTCGTCTCTGGAGAAGACAGGGAGTCCATGGAAAGATTCAAAGGAGAAGTCATTCTCCTGTGTTGAGCTCAGCCCCTGGTCCACAGTACAGGTCATCAATTAGAGGTGGTGTGAAGAAAAACAAAAGCCAAGGATGGGGAAAGGTTATGCCAATAGCGGCATTAAATCAGAAAGACAGGTAACAATTTAAACAATAGGAGTAGAAAGGCAACTCATTCTCCCACCTTCATTGACCGCTCTTGTTTCCTACTGCATCTATTTCTGTTTCTCACTGTAACTATTTTTTTTCACTGCATCTTATTAGCTCTGGGTAGGTTTTTAATGAAAAATTAAAATGGAAAGCAATATACTAGTGAAGAAAGAAAAATCGTTCGTACTTTCTAGCACTGTTGCGGGGCTTTGCGGTTCATAAGCCCCGTTCCTATACATTTTAGGAGGAACGGGTTACAGAACGCTTTCGTGGTTTTAAGAAGGAAGTGAAGAGCGTGGTTTTTCACATGTGAAGGGTCATGAGAAATGAAGTGAAGACTCTTCCTGTCGTGCTTCAGAAGTCCTTCTGTGACTGCTGTCCCACACATACAGTAAACAGTGCGGCACCCTCCCCACCCCTCCAGCTCACCCGGCAGGAAGTCTAAGCTGCTTCTTCAGAGCTGGGCTTAGAAAGCTTGAGGGCTGCCCTGCACTCAAACAACCCCTGTGACTCAGCATCCTCCTTCCTGCTATCCCCCTCCTTCACTCCGCACCCCTCCTTTCCAAGGCTGTGTACTTACTGCCCCCCTTTGGCTTGCTTTCCATCCCTCACGCCATGTTAACCCCAGTGGTCTCTTTCCTTATACAGAAGCACACATGGCTAAACTAACCTTCCACCTGAGCATCGGTGCAGGGGAAATGGCAACATGGATTTGTTCCAGGTTTTAAGTCGATTGCTGTGTTGGAACCGAAATCCAATCCAATAACGCTTAGGTATTGTCGAGTGGTACATGCTGTGCCCAGGGCTAGCAATCTTCTGCCCTCGTTCCTCACATCTGCTGTTTTCAACCTTCAAGGCAGTGACACTGATCTCTGAACCAGCAGCATCGTTATTTGAAGACAGTTTGCATCAGTGTTTATTGCTGAGAGATTACCCCACTCTCCTCGGCAGGGGAGAAAATTATTAGTGTGGCTCGTTTTAAGATAATTTCAGTTAATAACACTAATGGATTGGTGAAGTAACGTATTCTGGAACTTCCCGTTTCTCTCTCTCTCTCTCTCCAACATCATCACCCAGAAGCGAACACCCGCTGGCCCAGCTGTACTGCCACTCCATCATGGAACACCATCATTTTGATCAGTGCCTGATGATTCTAAATAGCCCCGTAAGTACAGCGTTTATTGTCGTGAATCTCAAAGGGGAGCTTTATAAATGCAGCTTTATTTTTAGGTTTTGGACTTATTCCCAGCTTCATAAATTCTCGAACATTCTCTATTCCTTTTTGGGTAAGGAAGGAATAGCCAAGGCATTAGACATCGCTACAGCCTCACGTCTGGCCGGTAAGAACTATCTCGTGTTACCCGCGAAGGAAATGTGATTACTGACCTTTGATTATTCCAAACTAGAAACAAAACTGGTGCTTGACGGCTCCCGCTTTAACTTTTTAAAAGCAGGTGAAGTGGTTCCTACAGATTGGTATCTGTTTCTTCTTTTCCTTTTGACTACACGCTGGGGTCAAGCCCAGGCCTTGGACCTGATAAATGGGTTTCCCCTCACTTGTTCTCCCAGCCTCCGTCTTATTGGCGCTTTTAGCTGCTCACAAGCCGTTCTCTCTAGGAATGAGAAGGCTGTTCGAGCACACAGAGAAGGGAGTGTCAGCAAATGTAGGAAAACGTGATACGGTTCGCTAAGTAAATGCACATGTTCAGGAGTGCAGTATTAGCAGAACGAACGTACATCGGAGCGTGAGCTGGGTTGAGTGTTAGTGTGTCTGATAAAACGCTTGGTAGTTTTTATTCTACTCGTGGGATTGTTAATTATTCCTCCTGTGTTGACTTTATAAGGGAAAACAAAAGAGAAAGGTTTTACCATTACATTTAAATGGTCACAAGGCATGGTACATAATCTTAGGCGGTTTTATCACAATGTCTTCGTGTTTGCTGGGGTTAGGTCTAGTTTTTTTTCCCCTGAATTTTAGAGAAGAATTAGGGGGTCACATTGTGGTCACTGTTATTAGGTCCACCTGTATGGCATGTCATTCTCACGTCACAGACCGAAGTGGTCACTCCAGCATTATCGTTCACACTGTGAGGCCGATTCCTCCTTTACGCCCCCATAAGCATCTCTTGTTTCTTACTATGCATGTCTTCTAGATCCTTCCTTACTACCAAGCCTCTGTGTTTCCCACCTAATCAGCCAGTGAGTGGGAAAGCAGCATAGGCAAGAAAAGGGTCTGGCCTTTCTTAACACGCTGACAGTGCTGAGCGTCCGACTCTTTGCACCTGGTAGATATTAGTAATTTTATCACCCCTGCAAAGCACCCTCATTACGGAGACAGCAACGTCCCACAACAGCTACAGAATGGCCAGCCAATTTGGTCTTACCTTTTAGGTTTCTTGGGCAGGATGCATCGCAAGTCCGTTCTAGTCCCACCTGCCCCACTAAACACAGGGTCTTCTACTGGAGGCAAAGAGAATCCTCACCTCTTCCATAATATCTTAGTGTGACAATAACATTAGGGTGTGTGCAGCTTGGGACGCAGCTCGAAGGCAGAGTGTGTTTTGCACGTGAAGGGCACTAGGTTAGAGCTCCCCCCAGCACTGACAAAAAAGTATACAACTTCTTCTGACTACTTCCTCAGGAAGTTTATATAAGACTTAATAGAGTGTTTGCTATAACGTGTAGCTTGAGTCAGTTGATATGTGATCAGTATCATTTTAATGTGGTGTTTGAAGAGTGAGAAGCAGGCCCTTGTGCCCTCCTCCTCCGATGCAGACTGTGAGAGGCTCTTGACCCTGCTCTTCCCTCCCCATCAAATCCCATGCACACTGCCCCTCCCCACAGTCCGGCATTCCCGTCTGTGGCTCTTGTGTGTTCTCCATGCATTCTGAGGAAGCCCCCAGGCCTGCTGGGCCAACTCACCTCCAGAGAGCGCCTCCCTTGCTTTGCTTTGCCTTCTGGTTTCAGAGTCGCATAGGTTTTGAGTGATCTGCCCCAACACTACTTTCCCCATGAACTATGTTATTTTTAGTGTATAATTTTCTAAAATTGAGATTGGAGAAACATATGCATGTTAGGGTAGAAACATCTGTACTTTCCTTGGGAAAATGCTCTTGTAGCCAAAGCTTTTTATTTACTTTGTGGTAGGATAGGGAGTTTTTATTGTTTTTGTTTTTGTTTTTTAACTTGGGCTCATGCAGCTCATCCTGGCCTCTGTCTCACTAAATAGCTAGAAAATGGCCTTAAGGCCCTAATCTTCCTGTCTCTACTTCCCAAATTCAGGGATTACAGGCGTGCGCTACCACACCCTATTTAAAAAGTCCTGCTGGTGTCTTATTTCAAGTACAGTCCCAGACCAAAGAAATTACTAACCTTTTCAAAAGTGTATTAAATATTTCCTATCATACTTCTTTTATTGGATATATGAATTATTATATAGTATGTTGTTACTTAGCATGACATACAAGCAATCTGGCTATACGTTTAGTTGGCTTGAGTCATAGGAGCCATCTGTATAGTTTATCTTTATAAGCACAATTAAATAAAAACATCCGGATTATACTCTTTGGGACAAACCCTGAGACTGCAGTATCGAAGCTGTTTCAATATCTCCTGGCAATCGTTTTTATCTTAAAAATCAATAAAAGCATCCAAAGTTTTCTGAAAAGTTCCCTGTGGCCCAGATCTAGAGTGATGAAGTAATGATTGTGGCTGTCATCACAGATTCGGTCATTAATTTAATTCATGGGTCTCATTACTCCCTAATCACTGTCTTCCCAGCCAAGCAAACCAGCAGTGCCCTGGCATCCTTCTTCACCGCCCGATCTCCTTTCTAAAGCTCTGGGCACTTTCTTGGCTCTGAGACTTAGAAGGTTTACACACATTCTGAGTCTATTTGGAGTGGCTGAACTCTGGGCTTTGTTTAGTTGAAGATCAAAAGGAACCACTCTGCTTTAAATTATAGCCCCCAAAATAAATACAAGATGTTGTAACAGAAACCTTCAGTGATGATACATGGATTGGCCCCCGTTGCCCCCCCCCATGTCTTTCAAAAGAATAGTTTACTAATATGGGAAATATGACCTACAAAAATTCCTGTTTACGGTGGATCTCTGTGAGTTCAAAGCCACCCTGCTCTACAGAGCTAATTCCAGGACAGCTATGGCTACACAGGAAAACCCTGTTTTGAAAAACAAATAAAAATTTGTGCATAAATTGTTCATGAAAAAATTATAATTTTTTTATTATTTTGGGGGGAGTGTAATATAATGACATCATTTCTCCTTTCTTTTCCTTCCAGCCTTCCCATCTACCCCTCCTTTCATTAATTATTTGTGTGTGTGTGTATCTGTATGTGTGTGTATTTCTAGATATGTAAATACAATCTGCTTAGTCTGTATAATGTTCCATGTTTGTAAGTTTTCAGGCCTGATCATTTGGTATTAACTAACCTGTTGGCGTGTTCTTCCCTGGGGAGGAGTGTTTTGGTGTTGACTAACCTGTTGGCGTGTTCTTCCCTGGGGAGGAGTGTTTTGCCTGCTCTCAGCACAGATTGCTCCCTTTCAAGCATCCTTACAGACCTTTGAGCTCATGCTTTCTTAGGTCACCAGCTAGTCAACACCTTTGGATCAGGCCTGATAGCCCTCTGTACTGTCATGCTCATAAGGAACACCTACAGTTCTCAGTATTGGTTAAGCTGTGTAAATGTGAACCAGAAATGTTACCAAGTTTGTTACGGAAGCCACAGAGGAGTGTCTCTAAAATAATCAGTTATCTAAAAATTTCACAACTCCATTCTTCATATTGATTAATATGATTTTGAGTTTTCAGTTTCACTTTGTTTTCTGTTATATTATAGTAATTAATCTGCACAAAGGAAAACGACAAACTTACTTAGTTTGTAGATTTCAACTCAGTCTCAAGGAGGAAACACACGTGTACAGAGGCAGGGATAATGTCATGTTGCTGTTTTTATCTTACATGATAGAGCAGTGCACGGTGGGAATGAAGAGGGAAAACACTACTTCATGGCATATACTTTTAAATAGCAGGCTCAGAACGAGGTGTGCGTTTAAATCATGTGACTGTATCTTCAGTGTCGATTCTTGAGAGCAACTCCTGTGGGTAGAATACTAATGATGTTTCTCTTTTTATATAAAGGGCAACCAGATTCTCAGCGGCCTCTCCATTGAAGAATATAAGACCACATTGAAAATGATCAAGCAAGCAATTTTAGCTACAGACCTAGCACTGTACATTAAGTAAGTCTTCAGAAGAGATGCCCTCCAAAATAGGTCTCAGATCATTTTCATATCCATACTAGGAAATTCTTCTAAAAGCAAGCATCCAAATGCTTACCAGATGGGTCATTCATGTGTGTGTGTGTGTGTGTGTGTGTGTGTGTTTTGTTTTTCGAGACAGGGTTTCTCTGTAGCTTTGGAACCTGTCCTGGAACTAGTTCTTGTAGACCAGGCTGGCCTCAAACTCATAGAGATCCTCCTGCCTCTGCCTCCCGAGTACTGGGATTAAAGGTGTGCGCCACCACCGCCCGGCTCAGATGGGTCATCTTTAAAGGCAACTCCTTTGTGCCCTTACTGCTCCAAATGGTAGCATAGGATGTTCTTCTACTGCTGTGTCTGTGAAGCTGCCTCGAGGCATCGTGACGGGTCCAGTCTAACCATCCCAAAGGCTGCTTGCTTTCCTCCTTTCCTTCCCTCGCCAATCTCTGCCCACTCATGATTCATAGCCACCCCAGCCTGGGTGGGCAGGCAAAGAGCACTGCAAACCATCTTCTTTTCATCTGCCTTTGGCAGGAGAGCTACTGGTGGAACTATTTTTCCGACTGCACTTGGCATGATTACCGCGCTTCTGTACTAGCCAGACAATGCTCATTGGCGTTTGGACAGTCGTCACGGTTTCCAACCTATAGATTGAGACCTCTGTATATGTGGGATCACCTGTCCCGGGCTTCGTCTCAATGTTTAGGTCTCTCCTTTGACACAAGGATTCACAGCCATGGTAGTAGTCTCTGCTGTGAGGAGTTAACAACCACAACAGGCACACACCAGTTACACCACATACCCACTGCTCACTGTCGGCAACCATGCCTGCGTCTGCTTCAGTGAAAACTGAGTCAGCTTAGGGGCCATCAGAAAATGCAGCAAACTTCAGATGATTCAAACGCATTGTGAGAATACTGATCATCAAATCACAAAGAACATGAAAAGATACATAGGTTTCCCATTTTTATTCCATGTGAGTTTCTTTTCTTTCTGTGGAACTTTCGTCTTTGATAGTTAATCATACATAGTCTGTTTATCATGTAACTTTATCTTTTGGTTGGTCTCAATTCTCAAGGCTCCTGATAATGTTGGGCACATAGGAGGTGTTTACTAGACACAGGTGACTCTTATGGCCATGAATGACAAGAAATATTATCTAGAACTGGTTCTTTGCTTCTAAAGCATTTAATGTCTTCATTGCCTTTCTAAAGAAATCCTGCAACAAGATGTGGATGGGTTGGAGACCTTAGACCCTCTTACCCCTGTGCACTTAAAGATCTTAAATTGTTATCATCTCATTTTAATTCACATTATTCTCTTTCTTTAATAAAAAATATCCATGGAGTTAAAACATTATGCTTTTAAATAATTTCCATTGAAAGTGGACCAGGAAAGTGAAGGTAGGGTACTGAGTGCTGATGGAGCTTTGTTGTTGGTTGGGTCTGGGATGGGGAAAATGGAGATCTTCGAGTATACATTCAACAAGTCTTGTAGACCAAGGGAGAAGAGCCTGAGAAATCACCATAATCACCATGTTCGTCTTATTCTTCAAGGAGACGAGGAGAATTTTTTGAACTCATAAGAAAAAATCAATTCAGTTTTGAAGATCCTCTTCAAAAGGAGTTATTTCTGTAAGTTGACTTTACTGCTCGTGCAAGCTTTGCTTGCTTGCTAATTAGGATTATTTGTTGTGTGTAATGACGTTTCAGGTTGTCCCCTGCTCTGGAGTGTATGTAGCACAAAGGACTGAGTGTGATTGCAGGCAAGTTGAAGTAACTAGACCACAGGACAGCAGTGCTCTCCAGTGGACCCTTCCAAATAATACTTTTCCTTCTCCCTTCTTTTAGCAGGAGGTAATACCTCTGCTGCTATTTGCCACTATCTCTGTCATGGCAATAACTGTCATTATTAAAACAGATCCAGGAAGCCACCACAGTCCCTGCACTTGGGAGGATGAAAGAAAATGACTACCACAAGGTCAAGGTCACCCTGGGCACTAAATGTTGAGGCCCTGTCTCAAACAATAAACCAAAGCAAAGTTATCAAGTCAATAATAGCTAAAGGTACCACAGAATTGCAGATAATGTCGATGCAATATTGATATCAACGTTTTATAAACAGATTGAGATTTTTTTTTAGCCTCTAAAACAAATATGCAAATTAAAAGGAAACGCTATGCAAATTCCTGGCTGTTCTATATAGTCATGCTTTCCTTAATGTCAACTTACCTTCCAGAATAGTGCCTTCGAAACGCCCAGTCCTGCTCCTGTGACTATAAAAACAAAGAGAGAAGCACAACGAAGTTCTAAGTTTGAGCCAGTTCTCTCTCTCACAGAGACGTTTGTAGTCAAGCCCTTATGGTTAGTCACCTTTGGCAGGCACAATTATGCTGGCGGGGAGGGTTGAACTCTTTTATGGCCGTGGGTTCCACCTGCAATGAAAAATACCTCCAATGCACTCGTTCCTGTGCATTAGTATTACTATAGGAGCGAACCTGGCAGCATCAGCATCCTGTGGTTCAGGAGCCTGTGCTTAGGTTGGGTATCTCTAGGAGGACAAATAACACTATGCTTGTTTTGTAGGTTTTGCGGGAATAGCCTTTTTGCCTATTTCGTCAAACAAAGTAAAGGCACTGTTAGACAGACATTTGAGTCTGACTCAAGGAAAGGCAGTGCTGAAGTCAGACATTCTCTTAGAATGCGCACAAAGCTTGGGTTTGATCCCTAGCAGAGCGTGAAAGAGATGTGGTAGCCCACACCTGTAGTCCCAGAACTTTGGTAGTGGATCAGAAATTGAAAGTCATTCTTGGCTACATAGAAAATTGGAGGTATCACAGGATACATGAGGCCTCCTCTGCACATCTATTCTAATGCACATTGTTAGATCCTGGAGACAGGGTGGTTCCCTCTGCTCTATCTAGAGAAGGGCTAACAGCCCCCTCTCCCCCTTGCTTTCCTCTGCTGGAGGAGAAGACTCCCCAGCATGCACCATCCAACCATGCAGAAGTTGTTGCAATGACAGCCCTACAGGTGGTGTGTGAATGAAGGTGACCCACTAAACCGGAGTGTCCTCAATAGGATATGTGATGTTATCCTTGTGGTTAGTCGGTATGATTTCATCTCGTTATCAGTGTGAGAAAACCAATGATCAGACAAGCGTTTATCCAACAAACAAACTCTAGTAACACACAGCCAAACAGTGAGGGTGTATCACAGTTACATCAGCCGGGTTTCCAAACGAATACATTCTGTTTGTGCTTTGGTTTTCCAAAATTGAGTCTTCTGTTGTTAAACAGATTTTAAGTGAACTTTTCATGAGTAACTTCTTACCGAGGATAAATACTCACAAGATTTGGGGGTTCTCTCTCCTCTACCAGGGCAATGCTGATGACTGCCTGCGATCTCTCTGCGATTACGAAGCCCTGGCCGATTCAACAACGGGTATGTTGCTCAGTGGTGATCAAAGCAGTACTCAAAAGTCAAAATAAGAAAAGTCTCTTCTCTTAAAGCGAGCTTTGGAAGTCAGGATTTATGGAAATTTCCCTCTAATTTTAAGCAGTGTTAAAAGCAGATGGTTGAACATGAAAATGTTTCCCTTTTTAAAAGATTCATTTACACTTAATATCTGTATGATACATTGAAAAAGATGGTTTAAAACTAGCTGCTGGTTTGATTCCAGTGCTAATTACTTCTTGCTCACTCTGGAATATTTTTGAAGCATCTCCCTTTGATAGTCTTGAAAATTAGAAGAAGCAAGGTTTTCTTGTGATTTAACCTGTTAGGCTGTCCCTCTGTTCTAAGAAGACATTAACAAGTTCATGTAGGGAGTGTTAATAGCTGTTGGCAAGGGCCTGATCAAGAGGCCGGAAACAGATCCTTCTGTCTGAGTGAGAAGTAACTGCCCCAACTCTTTTACAGAGCGGGTAAAGTAAAAGTACCAGAAATGACTGCATTGTTATATATGCTGTATTTTTGTTGGGGGGGGGGGCGGGATTGCATTCAAAATCTTAACACACAAGCAAAGATTGTTGGTCTGCTTTTAAACAAAGCTCTAGGTTATATATCATGAATACAGCAAATGTGGGCTTTCTCATGAAACATAGATATGGAAGAAACAAACTCATCTGTGGACTGAAGGTATGGTTCGGTAGGGAGCCCCCACTTTCCATGTACAAGACCCAGGGTTCCATCCCCAACAGTTTCTGCTCTATATTAAATATGATTGCGTGCCCATTTCCAAGGAAAGAGGGAAGATTAAAAAGGAGGTTGCCTTGCTACTCTCTTCTGAACTAAACCCTTTTAGATATTTGAAACAATAACATTTAAAAGAAAAAGGCCCAAGGAAGTGGTTTATTGCTGTAGGGAAGGGTATAAGATACTAACTGGAGAGCCTGCGCTGGGCATGGCCCATGGTGTTCAGACAAGGGGATAATGGAATAGTTGGAGAGTCTGCGCTGGACACAGAATATGGTGTCCAAGGACCATGCCGCTACCCACTATCCTTAGCCACTACATGCTACTTCAGCCATAGACCTTAATTTCTTTCTGTGTGAGATGGTTCAACATGCTTTGTAACACTGTTTTAATGATTAAATAGCAATGCTTCATGCACAATACATAGATAAAGTAATTATGTACAAAGTCTATAAATGTATCTTGCTACTGTTTCTGCCAATTCAGCTATGGTGAAGATAATAACATCCTAGGGATAATGGTGGTTTTTGTGTTTACCCTTTGTCTGTCTTATTCTTTCATGTCTCTGAACATAGCAGTAGGTAGAAGATACTGCCAGGTTCAGCTGCCAACTTGGGATGGACCCTGACCTCAAACGCATCAAATTAGTTTAACTTAAAATCAGGAATTGGGATACAGAAGTTCTTGTATTATTTAGGATTGTTTGTAACTATGCTGGGTTGTGTGTGTGTGTGTGTGTGTGTGTGTGTGTGTGTGTCTCCTTGGAAGTTTAAGGTTATTTTTTCAATTTCTATTAGGAATTGTGTTGGAATTTTGATGGGGATTGGTTGAATCTCTTAACTACTTTTGGTAGGATGACTGTTTTCCCAATATTAATCCTACTGATCCATGAGCTTGGGAGCTGTTTCCATCTTCTGGTATCTTCTTTCATTCCTTTCTTCAGTGTCTTAAGATTTTTATTATATAACTATTTTACTTCCTTATATCTTTAAAAACTTTTTCAAGTTTTTGAGAATGGGATTATTTCCCTTATTTCTTTCTCAGGATGTTCACTGTTTGTATAAAGAAAAACTACTGATTTTATGTGTTAATTTTGCATCCTGCCATTTTACTGAATGGTTTTATTGGCTGTAGTTTTCAGGCGGAATCTTTAGGCTCCTCTGTGTATGGAACCGTATCATCTGTAAATAAGGATACTTTCACTTCTCCCTTTCCTTCCTGTATTCACTTCACCCCCTTCTTTTGTCTTACTGCTCTAAGACCTCTAACCCTGTATTTAATAGGAGTGGAGAGAGTGGACATCCTTGTCTTGTTCCTAATTTTAGTGGATATGCTTTGAGTTTCTCTTCATTTAGAATATTTGTATGTGCTTGTTGTAAATTTATCTATTGTGTTGTTTCTCCAGGATATTTTTCATGAAGGAATTTTATGTTTTATTATAGACTTTTTCTTCATCTAAGAGGTTCGTGTGGTTTCTGTCCTTGGGTCTACTTACATGTGGATCGTATTTATTAACTTATCTATGCTGAACCATCCCTGTATCATTGGATGAAGCTAGCTTGATTATGGTGGATAATATTTTTGATAAGTTTTTGAATTGGATTTGCAAGTATTTTATTGAGAATTTTTACATCTATGTTCATCATGTATATTTGACTGTAATCATCCATTGCTGTGGTTGAGCCTTTGTCTGGTATTGGTGTAAAGGTAATACTGCCTTTATTAAAAAATTGGAATTCTTTCATTTCTATTTACAGAATAATTTGAGGGCTGTTGCTGTTAGTTCTTCTTTGAATATATGGTAGAATTCTTTTCTGACTCCATATGGCTCTGGACTTTTTTTTTTTTTTAGTTGGGAGATTTTTTTTTTTTTAATTACTGCTTCTATCTCATTGGATGTTATGGGCCTATTTAAATGATCTACTTCATCTCAGTTTAACACCGTTAGATCACATATGTCTAGAGATTCATCTATTTCTTTTAGGTTTTGCAGTTTTATAGAAAACAGATTTTTAAGGTCTGGGCTTCTGAGTCTCTGAATTTCCTCAGTGTCTGTTGCAATGCCTCCCTTTTTTCTCTATTCTTTTCTGTATTTTATGTGCATGAGTGTTTTGTCTGGACATGCACCATGTGCGTTCCTTGTGCCGTGGAGTCAGAAGAGGATGCCAGATCTCTTGGAACTGTGTTGCACATGGCTATGGGCCATCATGCCAGTGCTGGGCACACAGCTCAGCCCTCCACAAGAGCAGCTGTGCTCTTAGCACTTGGCCGTCTCTTCAACCCATTGTTCTCTAACTTTATGCTTTGGGTCCTCTCTGTCTTTGGATTAATTTGACTAAAAGTTTATCAAGTTCTAATGTGTTGTTTGTTTTCCAAAGCACCAACTCTTCATTTCATTGATTCTTTGTGTTCTATTTCTTTGATTTTTATTTCATCCATTTTACCTCTTTGCTCGATTCCCATCTACTCTTTTTGGGCATTGTTACTTTTTTTTCTGAAGCTTTCAGGTGTATAATTAAGTCATTAATATGAAATTTCTCCAGTTCTCTTTATGTGAGCATTTGTTGCTGGAAACTTTCGTGGTTCTGCATTCTTGGTTTTGCCTCGACTTCGGTATGTTGTGTTTTCATTTTTGTTTTAATGTAGGAAATCTTTGATTTCCTTTGACTTTATTTTGACCCAGATGTCATTCGGTAGTGTGTTCCTTTAGTTTCCAGGAGTTTCCTACATTGTGTCATTTCTGTTGTTGATAGCTAGCTTTATTATTTTGTGATCAAACAGGATAAGGGTTGTCATTTAACTTTCCCTGTATTTGTTGAGACTTGCTTAGTGTCCTAATAGGCGGTCGGTTTCAGAGAAAGTCCTGTGGGCTGATATAAAGAATGTGTACACTTTGGTGCCTGGGACTAATGTTCTGTGAATGTTGAGTTTGATATATGATGTCATTTAACTCAAAAGTTTCTCAGTTTAGTTTCTGTCCAGATGATCTGCCTATTGGTGAGAGTACTAAAATCACCCACTGTCACTGTGCTGGGGTTTATCTATGATGTTACATTCTGATCTCTAGACACACATCTTGTCACACACATGTGCATATGCATACACACAAACAAATAAATGCAAAGAAGGAAATCTTAAATTGACTATGGAAATAAAAATAGATAAAAACTGATTTAGATTTAAAAAACAAAAACTAGCACCCCGAGAAAGAGGAATTCATCCTAGGTAACTTTCATGCTATGATTTCTAGGCTGAGGGATAACTTGGCAGGTAAGAGCCCTCATGCTTTCAGAGGCTGGGCTTCACTTCCCAGCACCCACACCAGACAGCTCACAACTGTCTGTAACTCCAGGTCTAGAGGCCACAGCACCCTCTTGTGACCTCTGTCCGTAGGCACCCATGTGTAACAGGTTTTTCTTGTCAGACTTTATTTGCACTACCAGTAATGCAAATAATGACAGAGAGACTTATTACTAATTATGAGTGCTTGGCCTTAACTTAGACTTGTTCCCAACTAGCTCTTATATAACTTAAATTAACCTATTCATATTAATCTACATTCTGCCATGTGGCTTGTTATCTCTTCTCCATATTGTATCTCCTCTGACTCCCTCCGACTCTATTCATCTTCATGGGCTAAATTCTAGTGCCTCAGATTTTTCCCAGTTTCCTCTCTGTCCCTGAAGGTCCTGCCTGTCCTCTTCTGACTAGCTATTGGCCATTCAACTCTTCATTAAACTAATCAGAAGGCACCTTAGGGAGAGATTCATCTTCATAGTGTACAAAAAAATTATCCCACAGTAGTTACACACACACACACACAGAGAGAGAGAGAGAGAGAGAGAGAGAGAGAGAGAGAGAGAGAGAGATAAATAAAAAAATTTTAAAGTAAAAAGCAGTATTTTTGGTGCCGGGAACGAAAGCCAGGGTCATGCTTATGTTAGGGAAGCACTCTCTCCCAGGTCCTAGAAACAGTAATTTACCCTATGTCTATAGAGGAATCTACTTTAAAACCAAAATCATGACTAAAAAAGACGTCCTATAATTAAAGCTTTAGTATAAAGTATTTTCAAATAAAAAGTATGAACCATTGCGACTAGCCAGACCCGAGACTCTATATATGATGGACAATCTTGGTTGTCAACTTGACTGCCTATGCAGTCAACTAAAACCTAAGCAGCTATGTAAACCTTTAAATGATTTCTCCATCTAATTACTGAGGTCGGAAGACCCACCCTAAATCTCAA